GGGATATTTTGGGGCTGGTTTTTGGGGTGATTTTGGGATATTTTAGGGCTGGTTTTTGGGGTGATTTTGGGATATTTTGGGGCTGGTTTTTGGGGTGATTTTGGGGTGATTTTGGGATATTTTGGGCTGGTTTTTGGGCTGATTTTGGGATATTTTGGGGCTGGTTTTTGGGGTGATTTTGGGATATTTTGGGGCTGGTTTTTGGGGTGATTTTGGGATATTTTGGGGCTGGGTGATTTTGGGATATTTTGGGGCTGGTTTTGAGGTGATTTTGGGATATTTTGGGGCTGGTTTTGGGGTGATTTTGGGATATTTTGGGGCTGGTTTTGGGGTGATTTTGGGATATTTTGGGGCTGGTTTTTGGGGAGATTTTGGGATATTTTAGGGCTGTTTTTTGGGGTGATTTTGGGATATTTTAGGGCTGGTTTTTGGGGTGGTTTAAGGATATTTTAGGGCTGTTTCAGGGGGTTTTTGAGGCTGTTTTTTGGGGTGATTTAAGCGTATTTTAGGGCTGTTTTTAGGGCTGTTTCTTTGTCTGTTTTAGGGATATTTCAGGGCTATTTTAGAGATGTTTTAGGGCTGTTTTTTTGGGGTGATTTTGGGATATTTCAGGGCTGTTTTAGGGATGTTTTAGGGATTTTTCAGAGATGTTTCAGGTCTATTTTAGGGATATTTCGGGGCTGTTTTTGCGTTATTTCAGGGCTATTTTAGAGATGTTTTAGGGCTGGTTTTTTGGGGTGATATTGGGATATTTCAGGGCTGTTTTAGGGATATTTCAGGGCTATTTTGGGGATGTTTTTTGGGGTGATTTCGGGTTATTTCAGGGCTGTTTTAGGGGTATTTCAGGGATGTTTTAGGGATATTTCAGGGCTATTTTAGAGATGTTTTTTGGGCTGTTTTAGGGATATTTCAGGGCTGTTTCAGGGCTATTTCAGGGCTATTTTGGGGATGTTTTTTGGGGTGATTTTGGCATATTTCAGGGCTGTTTTAGGGACATTTCAGGGCTGTTTCAGGGCTATTTCAGGGCTGTTTAGAGCTGCGTTTTGGGGGCTTTAATCCCGTTCTGGGGACGCTTTAGAGCTGCTCCCCGGCTGTTTTTGGGCTGCGGCCCCCGCGCGGGGGTCCCGGCCCTCCCTGACGCCCCCTCCCCACAGAGCGGCCCCCCGGGACCCCCGGGGCCGGGGCTGCCCCCGGGGGGGCGCGGCCGGGGCCGGGCCCAGGGCTCCTGGGGCCCCCCCGGCGGGGAGATGACCTTCTCCATCCCCACCCACAAGTGCGGGCTGGTCATCGGCAGAGGTGAGACCCCCGGGACCCCCCGAGACCCCCAATTCCGACCCGAGACCCCCGGCTCATCCCCCGCCCCAAAATCCCCCAAAACGGTCCGAAAATACCCAAAAACGGCCCCAAAATCCCAAAAAACGGCCCGAAAATACCCGAAAACAGCCCGAAAATACCCAAAAATGGCCCCAAAATACCCGAAAACGGCCCCGAGATCCCCAATTCCGCCCCGAGACCCCCGGCTCATCGCCCGCCCCAAAATCCCCAAAAACGGTCCAAAAATCCCTAAAATCGGCCCCAAAATCCACAGAAACGGCCCCAAAATCCCCAGTTCCGCCCCGAGACCCCCGGCTCATCCCCCGCCCCAAAATCCCCAAAAACGGCCCGAAAATTCCCAAAAACGGCCCAAAAATACCCAGAAACGGCCCAAAAATCCCCAAAAACGGCCCCAAAATCCCCAAAAACGGCCCGAAAATACCCAAAAACGGCCCCAAAATCTCAAAAAACGGCCCAAAAATACCCAAAAACGGCCCCAAAATACCCGAAAACGGCCCCGAGATCCCCAATTCCGCCCCGAGACCCCCGGCTCATCCCCCGCCCCAAAATCCCCAAAAACGGCCCAAAAATCCACAGAAACGGCCCCAAAATCCCCAAAAACGGTCCAAAAATCCCAAAAAACGGCCGCAAAATCCCCAAAAACGGTCCAAAAATCCCAAAAAACGGCCCCAAAATCCACAGAAATGGCCCCAAAATCCACAGAAACGGCCCCAAAATACCCAAAAATGGCCCGAAAATCCTCGGAAACAGCCCCAAAATCCCCAGTTCCGTCCCGAGACCCCCGGCTCATCCCCCGCCCCAAAATCCCAAAAAACGGCCCCAAAATACCCAAAAACGGCCCGAAAATTCCCAAAAACGGCCCGAAAATACCCAAAAATGGCCCCAAAATACCCAAAAACGTCCCCAAAATACCCAAAAACAGCCCCAAAATCCCAAAAAACGGCCCCAAAATTCCCAAAAACGGCCCCAAAATACCCGAAAACGGTCCCAAAATCCCAAAAAACGGCCCCAAAATTCCCAAAAACGGCCCCAAAATACCCGAAAACGGTCCCAAAATCCCAAAAAACGGCCCGAAAATTCCCAAAAACGGCCCCAAAATACCCAAAAACAGCCCCAAAATCCCCAATTCCGCTCCAAGACCCCCGGCTCATCCCCTGCCCCAAAATCCCCCAAAACTGCCCCAAAATACCCAAAAACGGCCCCAAGATACCCGAAACAGCCCAAAAATACCCAAAACCAGCCCCAAAATACCCAAAAACGGCCCGAAAATACCCGAAAACGGCCCCAAAATCCCCGGAAATGGCCCCAAAATACCCAAAAACAGCCCCAAAATCCCCAATTCCGCTCCAAGACCCCCGGCTCATCCCCCGCCCCAAAAAAAGGGGTGCCCCGTGACCCCAGGTGGGTTTTGGGGTTCCCCAGGAGGGTTTTGGGGTTTTGGGGTGCCCCGTGACCCCGGGTGGGTTTTGGGGTTCCCCAGGAGGGTTTTGGGGTTNTTTGGGGTGCCCCGTGACCCCGGGTGGGTTTTGGGGTTCCCCAGGAGGGTTTTGGGGTTTTGGGGTGCCCCGTGACCCCGGGTGGGTTTTGGGGTGCCCCCAGGAGGGTTTTTGGGTTTTGGGGTGCCCTGTGACCCCAGAGGGGGGTTTTGGGGCACCCCTCTGATCCCAGGGGGGGGTTTTGGGGTTTTGGGGTGCCCTGTGACCCTGGGCAGATTTTGGGGTGCCCCCAGGAGGGTTTTGGGGTTTTGGGGCGCCCCGTGACCCTGGGTGGGTTTTGGGGCGCCCCCAGGAGGGGTTTTGGGGTTTTGGGGCGCCCCGTGACCCCAGAGGGGGGGTTTTGGGGTTTTGGGGCACCCCCAGGAGGGTTTTGGGGTTTTGGGGCGCCCCGTGAGCCCGGGTGGGTTTTGGGGTGCCCCCAGGAGGGTTTTGGGGTTTTGGGGCGCCCCGTGACCCCAGGTGGGTTTTGGGGTTCCCCAGGAGGGTTTTTGGGGTTTTGGGGCGCCCCGTGACCCCGGGTGGGTTTTGGGGTGCCCCCAGGAGGGTTTTTGGGGTTTTGGGGTGCCCCCAGGAGGGGTTTTGGGGTGATCCCGGGTGGGTTTTGGAGTTTTGGGGCGCCCCGTGAGCCCGGGGGAGGTTTTGGAGTTTTGGGGCGCCCCGTGAGCCCGGGTGGGTTTTGGGGTTCCCCCAGGAGGGTTTTGGGGTTTTGGGGCGCCCCGTGAGCCGCTTTTTGGGGCGCAGGGGGGGAGAACGTCAAGGCCATCAACCAGCAGACCGGCGCCTTCGTGGAGATCTCGCGGCAGCTGCCGCCCAACGGGGACCCCAACTTCAAACTCTTCGTCATCCGCGGCACCCCCCAGCAGATCGAGCACGCCAAGCAGCTCATCGAGGAGAAGATCGAGGTGGGGGCGCCCCGAAACGACACCCCAAAACTGCCCCGAAGTACCCCAAAAAAATCCCCAAAAAAATCCCCAAAAATTCCCCAAAAATTCCCCAAAAAATTCCCCAAAAGCGGCGCCGCCGCTCGGTGTCGCCGCCTGGTGGGGAAGGGCGGTACTGCAGCTGCCCCCCCCCGGGGGGGCCCCAAAATCCTCCCGGGGACCCCAAAATCCTCCCGGGGACCCCAAAATCTGCCTGGGGACTCCAAAATCTTTTGGGGACTCCAAAGTCATCCTGGGGACCCCGAAATCCTCCCGGGGACCCCAAAGTCATCCTGGGGACCCTGAAATCCTCCCGGGGACCCCAAAATCTGCCTGGGGACTCCAAAATCTTTTGGGGACTCCAAAGTCATCCTGGGGACCCCAAAATCTGCCTGGGGACCCCAAAATCATCCTGGAGACCCCGAAATCCTTCCGGGGACCCCAAAATCCTCCTGGGGACCCTGAAATCCTCCCGGGGACCCCAAAATCATCCTGGGGGCTGCTAAATCTGCCCTGGGACCCCCAAACCCCCCCTGGACCCCCCAAACTCCCCCTGGACCCCCCAAACCCTTCCTGGGACCCCCCAAACCCCCCC